GTGAAAAAAGTATTCAATGTAATGACAAAAATTGTAAAATGCTGTGGAATTTCTTTTGCAAATAAAAATATACTAGCAATTTTCTATTAATGGTTTATTCAAGTGGGCACAAAGAATGTACAGAAAGATTGCCCGTAGAGGTTGCTACACTGAAAAGTAAGCAACCGACAGCCTGTATAAAAGGGGGCTGTGATTGGCTGTTACTTACGCGAGATTTGAACGGGACTTATATAGGCGTCGGATCAGATGTAGGTAGGGCGGAATTAAAAAAAATCAAAATCAAAGTAAAATAATAAAATAAAAGGGCATTAATAACAAAAGTAATAAAAATAAAATTAAAATAAGTTTATAGCCAAAATAATTAAAGCCCGTACATCAGATTTTAATCAGATTGAGTTTGTCATTGCCTCTTTGATGACGCGAAATACGTGCGTGGTATCAGATATATGTTAATCTCATTGCATTGTCAGAGTGTGAGTTCATTGACGACGGTGAGAAACTATCTAAGAACTAGCAAATAATATTTCTATATGATGATATAGGACATACTGGAAAAAAGGAACGACACATTTTATTAAAACCAGACTTTATTTTACTGCAGCTGTGTGGATATCATCTGAGAAATTACTAGTTTATGTATGTGAATAATGTTCAAGAAAACCGATTGCTTGATTAGTTGCCTCATATCCCATGTTAGTCATGTAATCATTAAATGTAATACATTGTAAATATTGTTTTGTGATATAATACTTGTTTAGGTTTTAATTTCTTTGTGTCAATGATGGCTCCCCTGTTGTGAACACGTTTCGTTAACACTATTCATGTTTTTGATACAACCACCCAAGCTTAAACACTGATGTTACGAGAAAAGGAGAGATGAAATAAAGAAATAGTGTTGGCGTTGATAAGGTGTAATGAATGAGAAGAAGTGTCCTTGTAATTACATAAATATAGTTGTAGTTGTAATTGAGTTTCATTTAGGACCTGTATGTTCATCAGAAATATCATTCTGCCGACGTTTATCGGGTTGCGCGAAGATGCAAGATACACATTGAAGAATCATGACATGAAACAATGGTGTGAAGGGAGTTGGTTATGGTCAGGAACGGCAATGAGTGAATGTAACCCGTGGTTATAACATGTTGGTTCATTGTGTGAATGATATACAATGAACACTTTCATTTAAATTGGTATACGTGTAAACTAGAGTAACCATTTTGACAGTTGTTTCCCTAATGACAAAACTGGTTCAGTTGAAAAGTGGGTGTGATTATTATTTTGGTGACAAATGCAAATAAAATGTGGCCTTTGTTTTGTTCGGGTAATTATTGTTAGAAATATTTTATAATTGTTAAATTAATGAACATTGATTATGTTACTGTTGGCAAATGAGGATAATATTAGTATTGAAATCGAGTCATATTAATGTGTAATGTTTATATTTTGAGTGTGATATATACAGTAATCGTGTTCTTATATGACATAACTTACGTTAATGAACGTTTTCGCAAATGAACTGATAATTTTATCATTTTCTCGCAATAACATCGCCAGAAATGGGTGGACAAGATGACCGACTTCCGCCCGTGGCCAGTGCCCACTGTCAAATAAACATCACAGGATGTGCCATAGAGATTGCATTGCATAAACATATATTGAAACAAAATTTAATTTTGAGTTTTTACTTTCATTTTTTCACTTTTGTGTGCTTCGTAATGAACAGGTGACGTTCCAAGCTTTCGATAAGTTATAAATGTTTCCTTTAAAACTCCATCATTAAATGCCCAATTTTCTGTAAAGCCGATGGACGATTTTCTGTAAAGCCAATAAATCAGACGATGGACGATGTGTATATGTGTGCCAGTATCTACGTTTAAAAATAGGAAAATGATGTAACGTATGTAACTCTTCAAGTTTGTCGCTTCGTTCTGGGTACGCTTTGATTCAATGCACACAGCGACTCAGCTTATGCAGTATTCGTAGCTCAAATTAGTGTTCAAATTCTTGCATTTGTTATACAGATGTACGATCCAGTTGTGAGCAAATATAACTGTTTTAATACAATTAACAACAGGAAGTAACATGAATCAAGATTTATTTCAGATTATGTCCGTTATTCCATGTTAAACCACCCCATTTTTCGAACGGGAACCACTGTCGTTATACTGCTTTTGATGCTAAAGGTCAGACCACAAGAGTACAAAGTGGCCTATAAAAACGAAAGTTTCACCAATTTCACATTTCATCAGGTAAGCCATATGTTACGTAATAAACGTTACATGTACGTAAATAATCCAGTGATAGAATAAAGTAATAGTCTGTTCTAAAATGCATTTTAAGTACAGGTAAAAGCTAAATTAGTCATATTGACGAGAACATTAACTTCTATTTCATGGAATCGATTTACAAAATAATTTTTATTATTAGAAATGCTGCTGTTTCGATGTTAAATGACAAATACGTTACCATACAACCGATAAAACACGCTATGCTCTATAAAATATGACCAATGTTCCGAGTCAGTATTCTGTAATCTGCCATTTAACGAACGGAAACACATGAAACCATTATATTGGTAACACCTCTTTATCGACGCTATTTTGTTTGGAATTGTGAAACAATTTTGTCAATATAACAATGTGTGTCATATGTTACTTAATTAGTAACTGTTACGTATATATGTTGTGTCCGTGGTAGTACGGAACACACTGGTCGGTTGGTATAAAGCCTTTATATATCGCGCATATTTTATAAATCTTAAGTACATTTCAGCAAAGGAACAGTGTTTTCCTAGTCATCGAGCATTTTTGAACGAGGGTCGAAGACTTGTTTTACGCTGAAATATTAATCTATTTCACGACCGTTGATTATGCATAATTAAACCCAACAAGTTGGATTTTATTCTGAGCATTTTTGAATGATTCTTAAATTAAATTTCTTAAATTAAATTTCTTAAATTTGTGAATATTAGTTACATTTATTATGCTTTAAACAGTTTTCTATTTTCTGTTCATAAATGTATCCATTTGACTGTGATATTTACAAATAATGCACAATGACACAAAATGTTGGATGGCACGATCATTTGATGCTATTTATGGACATTCTTATTCTAGAAAACTTAACTTAGAACAGATTTGGATTTTTGCTTTACATATATAAGGATGGATTACAAATGCTGGTAACATTTACCATACATATATTTATTGATATTCTAATCGCCATTCTTATTGCGTTTGGATGTATGTTCTGTTCTGTTGTCCACTGTTGCAGGTACGATATAGTTGTCCATATATTACTATTTTTTCAGTTAAACAATTTACTTGATTATATTAGCCCGTCATACTGTCAAGTTTTTACAATTTTGACAACCAGCATGCAAATGTGTGATAACAAATGTCGCTCACAATGTGCGCGATAACATTGCATATAAGTTATATCATTAAAACACGTAAATGAATATTCAATAACGGAAATAACGAACAACGGTTTTATTTCATCTTCTGGGCGAAGGCACAGCGTTTACGTAAAGAAGTGCGACGGCCTACATGCTTCGGACGTATGCCGGGATCTCGTTGAAAACGAGAGAGTGTCGAGATCTCGTTGAAAACGGGGGTGTGTCGAAATCTCGTTAGGAGTACGAGAGCCAACATACTCATGTTTACCCGTCAATTAGTATTACATTCTATCCTATCATAGCGTCCACTGAGATAGAGTTGGTATGAGAGTTCGAAGAACAAACACAAGTATGCTGGCTCTCCGGCTCTAGACGGGATAACGACGCACATTTTTGTTTAATGTCTGTCATTATACAAACCTGGAACTTGTCACTCAGGAGTACATACACAATGGGATTGAATATGCAATCTGATATAAGGATCCATATATATAATGTACATTTGAACGCCATTTTGAACTGCTGGTTTTCGAGGTATCGGTCCCTTTCATATATGGGTATAAGTAAGCCATATACTTTAACAGGTAGCCAGCATACAACAAATAACAGCACTATTGCAATAAGACTATTGACGGCCTGAAAAACAAGTGATATCATGCATCATTTTAATAAAAGCTTTCCAAATATCGCACTCTCTGGTGACGTACTTGTGTGACATAAGTAGAATTGTCACAAAAGGGAGAGTGTTTTACAAAACAACACAAAGTTGCTAATTTCGACGAGACGTAGATCAATGTTAACAAATTAGAGAAGAGACCATCATGAAACACTGACGCCTCAGAACGGAAAAAAATCATGGTTTTGTTCGAAGACTTTCGTAAACTGTATTAATTGGAAGCAACAGCTTAAATTATAACGATAGCTGTGTAAATATAAAGCTACCTTTCGAATAGCTCTTCTTTGTCTTAAGCATCTTGTATCATCTTGTTGTCCTGGTGATCTGTGACCACGTAGCATTTTGCCCATACGCGCATAGAGAATAGATATTGCTAGAAGAGGCAGAACGTAGGAAACCGCAAATGATATCCACTCGTATACTACATACCAGTTTCCTGGCCAGTCGTCATAACATATCGCGACAGTGGTGTGTCCATTTGGAAAAACCTCATACGTCTTGAAAATGGCTAATGGGACTGAATACAAAAAGCAGAGCACCCATATAATCATAACTGTTCCAGCTTTCTTCTGTCTTGATGTGTTGTGCGCCATTGGAAACATAACAGCACCATAACGATCGAATGCAATGGCCCCAAGCGTGTATATGCTAACCAGTATAGAGGACTGTGGGGAAGACATCATAATTAAAATTGTAATCAGCTGTGTTATTGGTATAGTTTCCAATCAACTAACATGCAATATTTAGCATACAGACAACTAGAAAATAGTGTTTTACCGTCATCATATCTTTTGATTAATGTATATAATTATAGTATTTTAAACAGAGAATGGGACAGAATAATTGGGAAATTTATATTTTTTACTTTTTAATATTACAAAATAAACAATATCCAAGATTATTGTTTATTTTGTAATGTGGTTAAATGTATACAGTCGGGAATGTACGAATATTTATGTCTCAGGAAGTTACATCATGTATTGTAATAAATAAATTATTACGGCTTAGTCTAAGCTTCTGAAGTTATTGCAAATTCAGAGTTCTTACACAATCGGTTATCACGGGATATCGTGTATTCGATCAACAGGCTACATTAATAGTTCCTATTAAACCCATAAATAAATAATAAATACTTTATTATTTGATAGCTTCATTTTAAGAGACCTCATTGTACATAAACAATGTTTTTTATAATTTGAAACGTGAAATTACGTCCCTGTGTTACTAATATATGATGATTAATGGTGATACATGGATTTTTTAATAACTGGATAATATTTAAGTACATACATAATAATTTATGTGCAGCGCAATATTGCATGGGACAAGGGCAGGGAATTGCACATCATTTAAATTGTCTGTAAAATATGAGCCTACACATGTAAGTTTGGGGTTTGGGCATTTACAAAAATAAATAATAAAAGATCTTCGAGTAAAATTAAAAGAAAAGACTCAGAATTGTAGCAACACCGCAGTCGATTGTTTCCAGTCGCCCGACTTCGCCTGGGGTGAAACTGTGCCACCAAGCCACACATAAAAGGAGGAAACCTTGGCAGTGACATACACCAATTACTAATCCACCAGAGTTTAGTAACCATTAATTAATTTGACGAGAATACAAATTAAATGTATATATATTAGTTACAGAGATGTCAAAAAAATACCTAATCAATGACGTCACACGCTATAATGTTCTCTTATTGAGTATATCTCATTTTATTTTGTATTTCTTTTAACTTGATATGACATCATGCAGCAGTATAACGAATGTATGTAACGCTTTAAAATAGCATTAGTTGAATATGCATTAAGGACTATATATATATATTGAAGATTGAATAATTAGTTGGACTGTATGATTGGTGCATGATATATTGCTATAAAAACATCATGCTTAGACCGTTTTACAAGATTTCTCTATTGGTGTAAATGATTCTTAACAAAAACTACTTTCAATGAAAAAAATCCGGTAATTCAACTCATGGCAAACATATAAGTCAGTGGATTTGCTTGTGGGACTATTCCCACAACGTAATTACTTCAATTGGATCAAAATGGATGTCGTTTTCTCGGCTCACAGAGATATTGGTTCACTTAAATGTGACATATTGCATAACTCAAAGATGGGAAAAAATATTGTACTTGATGTATTAGTAAGGTACGTTTTTACAGTTTTGTATCTTTGCTAGTTTTTCCGTAAACCGACCAGAAGTAAACCTTGGAACACTTTTCACTCAATTCAGACTGTATTTATTCAGAAAATAAGAAAGCTAATTTTAAATTAGAAGTATAGTTATCTGTAATTGAGTGTATAAAGTCTCTGTGTGAGTATTTTAAGAACTAATTTCAGAAATGACAAATGTTTATCTGTGCTGTATTTTACCCTTCAATCAAAATGTCACGGTCACACGCCAAGTGATATGAATTATGTTAAAAATATCTTTATTATTATCTGTAATTACTATCTGAGGGTAATGTATGGAAAAGACAAAAAGGTAAAATACATTTCACAGACAAAAACAAACAATACAGAATGTTAAATCTATTACTCAAAATAAAACCCCTATGTTCTTATTTAATTTTTTACATTGTATTTTGGAGTGATAAACGTGTCAGTAAATACAAATCCAATCTGATCGGTCAATAAAAGCAGATTGAATTTTGACATCTTGGCTGAGTATCATAAATATACAACAATATCTCAAGATATTTTTTAATTTACACAATATTTCTCGAATTATTATTAGACATTGTATTAATTCGAATAGTTTCAGACTCGACAACTTGGTCTGACAAAATCGTCGCTCAAAACTTATCTCATAAAAAATCTTGGAATAAACTCCTACGTCAGGTTTTACAATGACTCCCTCCTGAGTAAAAAGGAAATGTCCCACTTCCCTAGAGAAATAAATAAGTATTCCCCCGTCCTCAGCACAATCTTCATGGAACAGCTCAAGCTTAAATTCTCCGCGAACAGAAATGTGTTCACCCGTGTCTAATGACAATTTTCCACGAATTGTGTAACGGTCATGGTTATAATTAACATCAAAATTAGTAATTATGTCACCAGTGCATCCCTGACACGGTGAATATAGCGATTTATCCAAAAATAACTATATTTCCTAATCGCCATAGCAAACACGAAATAGCAATTGTATTCATAAACGGCGATCATTTATATAAACGGAACGTGATCCGATGTCTCGAATACGCGCTCACAATTCACGATCACTGTGTTAATTTTAGGCTTTGGAGAAGCTACAAAACGGATCCATAGGATACACATGGTAAAATTTGCGTGACTTTATAACATCACATTTTATTAAACTCGTGTAGTACACTGTTCAGTGACTATTCATAAGATATAACAAAACGATAAGACTACATAACATAAAAATGTGACTACATAACATAAAGGCGATAATTTATAACAAAGGGATGGGATTACATAACATAAAAATAGCACTACATAACATAAAAATGGTACTAACTAAGTAGCAGAGTGTATAACATAAAAAGATACTACATAAAAAAGATGGAAATATACAACATAATGTTGAGACTACATAACACAGCGATGACAATATAGTCAGGGAGCATGTGCATCAATTCTGAAGCCCGTGGGACTTGGGTGGTGAAAGCAAATCACTTATCTATATGGCTTCAGGTGACCCTAATTGATGATAAAAAACATGTTGACAGTCTGGAAACTTGTTGTGTTAGCGGTTTTTAAAGGGAACCTCAATCCAAACAACATAATGACCCCTAAAGAAAAAGCTCCACAAATGTAGGAGAATGCAATTTACACTTTTTTTATATCAGTTTTCATTCTCTAGAT